AGTGAGGTGCGCAGGGGCGGCGGCAGTGTGGCGTGTGTTGTGACCGCGGTAGCCTGTTGTGAGGCGGCCGGTGCTTGTCGCAGGGAGTGAGGTGCGCAGGGACGGCGGCTGTGCGGCTCAACTAACTGCCCGAGCCTGGACCGGCTGCGGCGCGGGGACCGGGTCGGCATCCGCTGACCTCGGACATCTGCACCTCCAGCTGGTCATCAACGGCGAGGAATGGGCGTGGGCCTCGTCCGGCCTCCCCAAGGTACGCGGCTGTGAGGAAGTGAAGTGAGTAACTGTGAAGCGAAGGGCGTTGGCGATATGGAGGGAGTGTCATCCCGTCATGAGATATCCGACTGTTTGATCGATCGTTTGCCTGAATGCCCTAGAGAGAGACGCCTGAGCGTTGGGACCGTTCCTCAGCAGCCGGCAAGAGCGTGCTCTCGGGTTGTAAGACGCTCTCTCCCTGCCACAGGCGGTGTGGGGCGGGCCGAGCTGTACGGCCGGACACAGTCGGTGAGGCGGTCAGCACGTCGGGCGCTGGCGTCGCCGGGCGGCGCGCGCTCGCCGGCCGCTGTCGCCGCCGACTCTCCCGGCTCGGTGATGCAGGACTCGCTGGAACTCTGCGGACCGACCGCGGCCCACGGTACGGCCGGGACGCGGGCCATCGGCGCGCGCCGTTCACGGGCGTGATGTATGCACCTGGGTGGTGTTCGTGCTGTGCACACGTGACACACAGCACGGTCAGCTCATGGCGTTTGGGCCCAGTCGGAGTCATAGGCAAACACCAAGTGAGTGTCCAGAAAACCTTGGTGAACCCTGGGGTTGAATTGACCAGGTACTGGCTAATTCGCGCCATGTCATGTTATTGCTCGAAATCCTTCGTTGTTGATGTCTTACAGTGTTCCTTTTTGTTTGGTCATTCTGATGTGGCTTACACCACCGGCCCGTGTGCAGCAGCTCCGCGGCCGGGCGGGCGGTGGCCGCCGCAGGCGGACCGCTCCACGATTGCCACGGCCGCAACATCGCGATCAGCAACAAAGGCTGTGTGGCGCGCCGCGTGGCCAGCTACAACCAGGGCCATGGTGCTTCGGCCCAGCCGCTGCGCGCCGGACAGCTGTTCGAGGTAAGGGCTGGGTCAGAGCGACATCACACTCCGTGGTGGGCCCGCCCGGCATCAACCACCCAGTGCGTGTGAGTATGTATGGGATGTAAAACATGGGAGGTGATGGTATGTATGTATGTGATGGTATGTACAACATGGGTGGGTGCGCGTTATGCTGCTTACGATGCCGGGAAAAATTACTCAGACTGAGTGTAATTTGCCGCTTGTTTAATGCAGTTTGGTGTGGCGAGCCTCGTCCTTGAATATTTACATTGCTTCCGTGCGGAAAAGGCGCTCCACGGTGAATACTCTTGTGTTGTCAGCTGCTGTAAACTACCCTGCTTCTGCTTCAAGTTGTTACTATGTTTTGTTGGACGCCCGGTGTTGCTGAAAGTGTGATGTCGGCTGGCGCAGCGCCCGCCAGTACGTTTGTTTCAGGTGTGCTCTGTGCGCCTGGTGTGACCATCGCCGGATTGTGGGCAGGTGCGGATCGAGCGGCTGCGTCAGGTGTGCTCTGTGCGTCTGGTGTGACCATCGCCTGATGGTGGGCAGGTGCGGATCGAGCGGCTGCGTCAGGTGTACTCTGTGTATCTGGAGTGACCATCGCCGGATGGTGGGCAGGTGCGGATCGAGCGGCTGCGTCAGGTGTGCTCTGTGCGTCTGATGTGACCATCGCCGCATGGTGGGCAGGTGCAGATCGAGCGGCTGCGTCTGGTGTACTCTGTGCGTCTGGTGTGACCATCACCGGATGGTGGGCAGGTGCGGATCGAGCGGCTGCGTCTGGTGTACTCTGTGCGTCTGGTGTGACCATCGCCGAATGGTGGGCAGGTGCGGATCGAGCGGCTGCGTCTGGTGTACTCTGTGTATCTGGTGTGACCATCGCCGGATGGTGGGCAGGTGCGGATCGAGCGGCTGCGTCAGGTGTACTCTGTGCGTCTGGTGTGACCATCGCCGGGTGGTGGGCAGGTGCGGATCGAGCGGCTGCGTCTGGTGTACTCTGTGCGTCTGGTGTGACCTTCACCGGATGGTGGGCAGGTGCGGATCAAGCGGCTGCGTCAGGTGTGCTCTGTGAGTCTGGTGTGACCATCGCCGGATGGTGGGCAGGTGCGGATCGAGCGGCTGCTGCCGTGCTGGAGCTCGTCGCTGATGGTGGGCGTGTGCCGACTGAGTCCGGAGCGGGCCTCCAGCCTGCCCGTGTCGGCCCTAGGACTACGCCGAGCTGCGTGGTACATCGCATCCGATGCCGTCTTTCACAACGGCGTCAAGGTATCCGCTAGTGGCCAGAACCTCCGCCATACTCGTCACGGATACTGATGAATGCCGTGAACCTGACGGTTATGTCGTGGTTGTCCTGCGAACACTGGAAGTGGGCCGTCACTTGATCGTGTTGTCCGGACACGGCCTGAGCGAGACGACCTCGCCACGTTATCTCACTTTTCTGAAGTGAGGTAACGGGCGAGGCCTGATTGTAATAATTGGCATCTCACGTTATTGGCAGAGATCAGGACCGTGGCAGTCCAGCAGTGACAGTTGATTGTCCGTAGTATAACGCACTGGTTGTGGCAAGGCAGTGCTGGGACTAGGCGATTGCCCCAAAGGCGAAATCAAACAGTGGCCACGTCGCAGTTGCCGTTCGCCGTGTGCTGCCGGCGATCTCTGCCCGATCTGTGATCTGTGATCACCTGTGACTCTCGCTGTTGTCACGCGTCTCGACTCTCGATCCAACTTGTCTGTGTTGTCTGAGCCAACTTATGTCTCAAACACCCCCGTGCTACAGGCCCCTCTCTACAGCCCCCCCCCCCCCGAAATCGAAATTCGTCTGCTGAACCCTGTCAGAGCTCCGCTTACTGTCCGCTCCCTCCCCCCTCGAAACCCGCACGGGACGTGGGCTGCTCAGGTCCGCAGCCGGTACGGTGTGGACCTGGACACGCTGTCGTCGGGCCACCTGGTGGGCGTCATGGTAGACGCGCAGGCGCGGCTCCACCTGTACGTCAACGGCGCGGACCAGGGCGTGGCCGCCGCGCCCGTCAGCACGCCCTGCCACGCGCTGCTCGATCTCTACGGCCAGTGTGTGCAGGTGAGAGGTGCCGGGGCGGCCGCGTCTGATGCGGCGCCCAACAGGAGCCGGGCCGTGGCCGCTCGGCAGCTGGGCAGATTCGATCGATGTTGGTAACATTTGGGGCGCAGCCGTAGCTAGTTCCATGTATCGATTTGCTGCCCGTCCATGACGTAGCAAACGCTGTCATTGCCTGCTCGTGTGATCAAGGAGTTTGCCGAGACAATGTGTGAAGCCTGTCCTGGAGTGGTGGAAGGCCGGGCCGACGGTCGTGCGGTGCACCGCGCGTCGCTGACGCGCGCCTGCCGCCAGGTGTCTGTGTGCCAGTCGGACGGGGCGGTGGAGGAGTGGCCCTCGGCCGATCCCCTCCGCAGACTGCACGGCGCCGAGCGCGCCCTGCCGACGTGGCGCCCGCCGTCATGAAGAACTGTACCTTCCAGAACGCCTGCCTACGCTTCAAAGCTGCCCTCGGCCTGCCCGGTACTTGGCCGTGTTCTTAGGTTGTTTGACTGCCTGTCTGGTATTTGGCTTGTACTGTTAGTCATCGGGCTGCCTGCCCGGTACTTGGCCGTACTCTTAGTTATTTGACTGCCTGTCTGGTACTTGGCCGTACTCTTAGTTATTTGACTGCCTGCCTGGTACTTGGCCATGCTGTTAGTTGTTTGGCTGCCTGCCTGGTACTTGGCCATGCTGTTAGTTGTTTGGCTGCCTGCCTGGTACTTGGCCATACTGTTAGTCGTTTTGGCGTGCTGCCTGGTACTTGGCCATACTGTTAGTCGTCGGGCTGTCCGGTACTTGGCCATACTCTTAGTTATTTGACTGCCTGTCTGGTACCTCGCCATACTCTTAGTTGTTTGGTTGTCCTGTCTGGTGCCTGGCCATACTCTTAGATATTTTGACTGCCTATCTGGCACTTGGCCATTCTCTAAGTTATTTGACTGCCTGTCTGGTACTGGCCATACTGTTAGTCATCGGGCTGGGCGCCTGGTACTTGGCCGTACTCTTAGTCATTGGGCTATTGTTAGCATGCTTATCCCTGTTTTACGGATTTGTTTTTGGATACTGGCGTAAGTCTTTTGAAGCTGAATCAAGCTGTTTTCTGCTCAACGGAGCATGGTTCGCGGCTGGAAGATGGAGATCATGTTTCTCCCGTGATTCTGTCTGGGGACAGAGGTGCATGCATCCGCTACAGTGCAGTGTGTTCCTCCGCTGGCGGTGGGTTGGTGTGCACCTGCTGATGCCGTGGTTGTGGCCATGTGTCCACGCAGCCGCCTGACGAGCGGCGCTCATGCCGGCAGACGAGTACTTCTCGTCGGAGCCGGCGCAGTGCCTGTGCGAGCCGTGCTGCCGGCTGCGCGGCGCTGCGGCAGCGGCGGCTTGTGACGACGGCTGAGCCGGGCCGCGCCGCCGGCTGGTGCCGCCTACCGCTGGCGGCCGCCGTCGACCCCGGCTGGCACGCGGCCTTCGCGCCTCTCCGGCTGGGCGACGTGCGACGCACACTGGACCGCGGCCAGCTGCTGGTGCCAGGTGCGACGCCGACGGAGAGGGAGACGGGCGCCACTGCTGGCGCCACTGGCAGCCAGGGCTGCTAGACGCCGCCCCAAATGGGCAGGCGCCGGTTGGCGTACCGTGGCTCGCTCGCGGGTGGCGGCCATCGCTTTTGGATGGAATCTGGCATGAACATGTTTTGCGGTGGAATGCTGGGTCTTGCGAGCATACTTACGTAAACTGTCATCATAGTTACGTTCCATTGCCCGTCTGGTCATACAGATAGTTCATAGCACCGTATGGCTATCCTGCTCTCACATCGGGTTTTTGTCACGTGACATTCTGTGGTATCGATTCGATGTTGAGTTTGACGATCTCGTTTGATGTTTTGTGGATCGATTCGTTGCAAGACTTGAATGCATTTCCCTGTGCGGCTGCCAGCGTGGCAGATGAGGTCAAACACGTGAGCATGCAGCCTCTGTAATAAGTATCGCAAGTCTCAGCAGACGGTGGTACCGTCGCATCGAAACTGGGCGCCACTTGAAAAAGAAGGGAGGGGATGACCGGGGGACGAGGGTGCGGTGGGGCGGCTGAACTTGCCAAAGAGAGTCGGTTGCTCCAGGCGAAAGAAGGGCTGCTCTGAAAGGAATGTCAGTCGTAGCGCCTCTGGAAAATATTTTTAAATATCTGGCGAAAGCCTTTAACAAAGGGCACTCAATCCTTCAGGACTGGCTGTGGAGGATTGTCAGAGACGTTATCAGTTCTGTGGCATGTGCGGCAGTGGAGAGCGCAGCAGCAATACGCAGCATGGGCGGTGTTTTATCGTGCGATGCCTCGATAATATGGAGACAGTTGGTGGTCGAACCTGCCGATCAAGCAATCAAAAGATATGACTTAAGCATGTGTGTCTTTTGCGTTTACGACCACCAGTGCTTACCAAAACCATTTATAGTCATGCCCATACGAACTCAGAGAACATGCTGATATCCAAAGCACTCACAAGCAAAAAACGTGCTCATCCAAAGATGCTACCAACGTGCGGCAGTGTTAAGCATATTTTTTCCTCAGAAAAATGTATTTACACGGTGGTTGTCAGTTGTCTACGATCGTTTACGCACAACTAATATTTAATGTCACAAATAAGGTTTTTTTCACTGAACGGTTTCGGCATAACTTGTTCCATATGCGTGCTTTGGTTTTGATTCTCCGCACGGTCAAGTTCGGACGACTTCAACAGGTCTGAACGATGCTGCTAACAATTCTTCGCAAATGCTCTACTCCATCGTTAACAGATCTGTCCAAACGAGTGACTCGAAAGAATGAATCATGCGTTCAAAACGTTAAACGGCCTACAAGCCCAGCTGCGATCAAACCTGGTCGCAAATGCATGCGAAGGAAATGAATGGACGGACGATTCATTCAGGGATCTGACAGGATGGCAACCGCGTAGTAATCATGACGAGGGCCTATAACGAGCCCGCGTGGCGGCTTTGCCAGACTCCTTGCTGAAATATTTTCAGCGAGCCATGAAACCACAACTATTTAATTGATAAATGAACGGTGGGCTCTCGTCTCACTCCCTCAGAAGTAAAATTGAAGTCGGTTGGATCCAATTTACCACACTTGGACTGATCCGGACGCTGTATTCGGCCGCATCCCCCGCCTTCCGCGAACGCGCGAGTGGACCTCTCGCCGCTGACGTGTAACCACTTAGGGTGGCTGGTGCTCAGGATCTCAACCTGGGCTGGTCGCCGCGTTCCGCACCTGAATGCGACTTGCGATACTAATTAGGCAGACTGTACCGGACTTCATCGTGTCATCCCCATCGGCCTGTTTAGCATTGGTTTCACGCTCACCGCCTTGTGGTGAGTGCCTTGACTGCATCTGGTGCTGTTGGCCGGCAGGGGAGCTGGGTATGCAGGGTCTGGTGATGGGGCGCAGCAAGGACGACGATTCGGGCCGGGCTGAGCTCGGTCTTCTTCCCGTCCCTCCGCCAGGCGGGTCTCGGCGCCACCTGGCCTGCCCTCAGGTCAGTCTTTCGTGACGTGATCCCAGGCGGGTCTCGGCGCCACCCGGCCTGCCCTCACGCCAGTCTCCGTCGTGAGGTGATCCCAGTTGGGTCTCGGCGCCACCCGGCCTGCCCTCATGTCAGTCTCCGTCGTGTTGTGATCCCAGTTGGGTCTCGGCGCCACCTGGCCTGCCCTCAGGTCAGTCTCCGTCGTGACATGATCCCAGGTGGGTCTCGGCGCCACCTGGCCTGCCCTCAGGTCAGCCTCCGTCGTGGCATGATCTCAGGCGGGTCTCGGCGCCACCTGGCCTGCCCTCAGGTCAGTCTCCGTCTTGACGTGATCCCAGGCGGGTCTTCGACTTTACCTGCGCTCATTAGGACACCGTACACTCCTAACTGCAGTATTACACTGAAATGAAATGCGAAAATAAGTCGCAAAATTCGTTTTATTTCGGCAGGCATTTCTTCTTCAGGTGACTTGAAATTTGTATATTATGGTGGGCTGTAAAATACAATGCAAAGCTTTATGAGAAGTCGGAACGTGGTACGTATGTAGGGGCACTTAAGAGATTACACCGACGCATTTTAATAGCTTGGACCATCTTCACCTCGCAAACATCTCGCACATTGCGAAAAGAAACAGGAGATTCGATGACAGAAATAGGGCGAGCAAATGACAATATAAGTACGACGTAAATCAGACGAACGGGTATGCAAGGACAGTTACGGGCATACAAGAGAAAGGTACTGAGATCGTGGGACCGATGGCGAGCAAGTGTTGTTGGCTACCTTGATATGGGCTAGCTGCTGACGGTTTTGTCTGTGGAGGATTTTATATTACGAATGAAGATCTTTTCTTGTAGTTTTCTTTCTACGTGCCTAGGAGATACGCACAATATTGTCCTCCGTATTTGCGTGAAAGAAGCGCATCAAATCCGAGATGGATCCGAAAATGAAGCCCAGCCGGGTTGTTGATGTTCTTCCTGAATGCTGCGCATCGATGGTCAAAAAGCCTTTCACGCACCGGGCGAATACACTCTCCTGCGAAGGTTACCAAACACAGAGGGCATGCGGCCTGACGCACTGCACGACTGGTGGAGCAAGTGCTGTTAAATTTAGAGAGACCTGGAACGCACTGGCCCCTTCTCATGGGGCACGCCGGTCTGCGCAGGTCGGCACGCACCAGGTGCTGTTTTGGTGACCCTAGGATGGCACCAATCTTTTCGCAATGTACGATGTGTCGAGGTCACTGAATTCTGCGTCACTGTCTCGCACAAATGTTTCGACCTTACGGTATAGGTCGTCGATGCTGGCTAATGTGATGTGCGCCATATTTGTTTCATTTTTGGGGGATGGTCGGGGCTGAAGCTTACTTGTTTAATTATGATGAAAATTAACCTGGCGGATATCCGTTGTTTTCCAACTTACGGGCGAGGTGGTCTGCTGCAGGGAATGAATGCTACGTGGATGAAAGAGGAACAGATGCCATAACAAATGGCATCCTGCCATTTCATAAGCCGCGCGGCGATCAAGGCCGAGAAGGATATATTTGTCGAGGCGTGCATATCTGGTGTTCGAGAGCGTGATTTCCAGACATAACAGCCGTCAATTGGCTCTCAATGTTGTGCGAGGTACGATGACGTAATCAAATCATGACGCATTGGGGTGCGGATTAACCAACAAAATTGTGCTGTCCAGAGCAGTCTTCCACTTAAAAAGTGTACCTATAATTATGAGTTTGCTTCATTATATCTGATGTTTACTTTAATATCTTTAAATGTTAAACATTCCCTTAAAAACCGGATGGCACCGTGTTCATCCTAACGTTAGGTTGAAAACTAAATGGATGGGTGGAGAGAGTTCATGTAGTCTTGAAACCTTCGGAAACTCTGCTCACCTTGTGTCCACACTCCAAAAAAGATTGTATATTTATATATATATATATATATATATATATATATATATATATGTGTGTGTGTGTGTGTGTATATATATGTATATATATATATATATATATATATATATCGCATAAAAAGTCGGGTTTGAGAGTGGCATTAGCCTGAAGTTCAGTGTAATGCATGACTTGTATGGCGGCCGGTGAACGCATGTTGTTCGTCATGGCTAGCCCCGGATTTGGTTTATTCTTGATCGGCGTAAGAACGTCTGAAAAGGATCGAAAAAAGACCATCGAGAACGTGACCGGGAAAAACAGGGGTATTGCTTTTATCAGATGGATAACAAATGTGTTAAGATACTGGTCAGGGCCATTGTTGAAGGTGCTGAGTATCATATGTGTTAAGATACTGGTCAGGGCCATTGTTGAAGGCGCTGAGTATCATATGTGTTAAGATACTGGTCAGGGCCATTGTTGAAGGCGCTGAGTATCATATGCGTCAAGATGCTGGTCAGGGCCATTGTTGAAGGTGCTGAGTATCATATGTGTTAAGATACTGGTCAGGGCCATTGTTGAAGGCGCTGAGTATCATATGTGTCAAGATGCTGGTCAGGGCCATTGTTGAAGGTGCTGAGTATCATATGTGTTAAGATACTGGTCAGGGCCATTGTTGAAGGCGCTGAGTATCATATGTGTTAAGATACTGGTCGGGGCCATTGTTGAAGGTGCTAAGTGTCATGTCACAATCAGTCGCGGCGCGCCCTGAGAGGGACCACTGGATGCCAAGCACAGTGAGGTCAAACGAGGCCTTCTGGTCGACAGAAAGATCATCATAGACATCTCGCGTAGTGTCCGAAAGGCATGGGGAGCACGTCTCTTGGTGCGTCCGCGTCTCACCATTGAAGTCGACCAAAGGTCCTGAAATCTTCGAACGTTTTGGAAAATGA